TAAATTTGAAGTAATTACATTTTATCATTATTTGAAATGATGAAACTCGTGGGAGTTATCCTTTTATGATGTGCTTCGAAACGAAAGATACAATGCAAAATGTACCTTTTGCGAGTGTAAGAATTTTAGCAAAAAAAAGTGATACAATTAAATGATTCTGAGAAAAGTGAGACATGAGACTTACGAAATACCAAAATTACGTGCAGCATGCAGGCTGTCGAAATCTAACGGAGAAAGCAGATTATTGATTGGTTTGAAAATCTTTGTAAACATTACTCAGGTTGCAGATTTGAGTATTTACACCTGCCACATAACAGGAGTAGGGATGGGAGTGTTTATTACAGCTAAAAAGAAAAAGCAGAAAAGGGAAGAATCGCGCTAAGTGCCAATTTGCTTCACTTTCATTCACGTAAACATTGCATTACTTCTAGTAAATGTTTTGTAAACATCTCAACTCCTGCTCTGTCTCCCGATATATTCACAAATTCTTCATTATTTCCGATCTTAATTGCCTGCTTGTAACATTTCTAAATTGAGTATGAAACTTGTAAAACTTTAGCTTAATTAAAGGGGGCAAATTTGGGTTGCTTACGTTGTTCAGGTTGAAAACGAAATTAAAGTTAAAAAACTGACAGAATTGGAAGTTTAGTCCAACTATAAAGTTACACATTCATTATCTTTGCTGTAATAATCTAGGAAATTAGTCACTAAGTTCAAATAATTTATGAAAAATATTTGCAATTGATGATTCCTTTTTCTTGGTTGCATTGATAATTATGCATTTGCGGCTTCTTTTATGCAAACGCTTTCAATTCATATCAATGATGTATAACGAGTAAGCACATAACTTTGCTCAAGTTAAGGTCAAGTAATCCTAGCAAGCATTAGTATTAAAAGAGCAAAATTATCATAATGTTATAATCGCATAGTGGAATGGTCCAACTGATCTGATTTTTTGAATTGGACAAATTCTCTGAGGAGAGCTTAACTATGGAATTACTATGCGCTACAACAAGTCATTTTTTCTGTTGGCCAGCGTGGATGAAATTTATTACAATTAAAAAAAATTTGTTACAATTTTAAAGAAAATTTAAATCGGTTAAGATTACGTAAGTTCTAATCTATCGTTAGTTGCTTTTGCCAGAATACGACAATTCTTAAGATAATATTTCGGAAATATAAAATTGGATAGAATAGATTAGATAAATTTTGATCTGAGGAGAAAAATGATAATTAATACATTTCAAAAGTGAACAGAAACAAAAATAAACTCCAAACGAACATATCCATTTCAGAGAATTTTTTTCACACATCCATATTTCCTGTTAAAAATGATGTTTATGCAATTCTCGAATGACTGATTACTATTATAGTTTTAGATGTCAGTAAATGGGCATCATACGCTACGGTTATCACTCATTGATAAGAAGTGATAAAAGTGGATAGAGTTAAACTATACGCGAAACAACTAACTATTTTACGTTGTACTTCCGAGGATTTTATTTCCTAATGACTACTCGAACATCTGTTCCAGCCGTATAATACTTAAAAAACTCATCCCTCCTTCTACCCACTAATTATCCTCGTAAACTTTGTGGCCATATCTTCGCTGCAAAATAATTCATTCACTGAATAAGGAGATTATTGGAGAAGTGTCAGATAACGACTGGAAAAGTATGGTCCGGAAACCTCCGTTTTTTACTTTTTTGCCTCTCAAACTTTTACTGCGAATTTTCAATGATCCTAAACAGAAGAAGATTCTTCTATGCTCAATGTGAAGTGAAATTTTTATTGAAAAACTAAATTTCCGAATAGAATTTAAGCAGTCAACAAAAGAAAAAATGGATTCATTTTTCCTTGGTTCAAAAAACTCATTAACCGACTGGCAAAAATATTGATATTTGATAGACTCTGGAAATTTCCAGACATTCCGGTTAAAGGGATAGATTTCAGGAGTAGGTCAGTAAATCTTTTATTACCATCTGAAAAAAACCACTTGTTTTTACTGTCCGCTGATCTTCTGATTTGCCGGATTAGCATGAAGTGAAAAAATTCACTCCACTGCAATGTGGGTCTACCAATTTCTGAGCTTTGATTGATGTCGCAAAAAGAAGACAAAGGCCTTAATTTCTTCCTTTCAAATATTCTCCTTCATACTGCTTGATATCGATAATAAGTAACAGTAATAATTTTATTATACCCTATCAATGATAATGCTGTAATTATTTACTGTTATTATTATTAATTATTAACAACTATAACAATAATTATTATTACTATTATTATTATCATTAATAATAATTATAATAATAATAATAGTAATAATCCTCAATTGTTCTCTCGAATCATAGGCTTAGTCTTGGATGTGATTAGGAGGTTTTTTCGCAAACTTAAGAGATTTGATTTGATTTCTTTTTAAGACTAAATAAAATAGATAACTTTGTTAGCTTTGCTTATCTTTGCTGATTGAAAAAGTGTCAAAAATACATCGAAGTTACCGATATCGAGTAAAAAAGTCAATTTCGATCAAATTACCGATTACCTTTTTAAGGGTGAGTGCAATAAAAAATAACCTTATACTTCGAATATCGATCGATAAAATTTGATAAAATTTGGTTTCGCCTCGGGAATATAAAAAACCATAAATTTATTGAAGTTGGAGAAAGTGAGGAAAGTATAGCGGGAGACCTTGAGGTCTTAGCTATTTTTGTTTAATGAGTAATTAGGAAACAACCACTTTCTGTCAAGAAGCAATCTATTTTTTGAGATACGGAGGTATAACATTTAAAAAGCTAAATCGCAGTTAATAAAACCAAATATTTACATAAATTTACGCAAAGTAAGTGTCAGATGTTATCTCGTATCATTAGGTAACTGTAAGTTAAGCTGACAAATTAGTGTATAAAACGAACGGGTAATTATTCATATCAATACAAACAAAAGTAATGAGAATCACATAGAGATTTTTTCTCCAACCTTTACATATCAAAGATCAGAGGTGACACGTCTTCAAAACACAGCAATATCGCTTGGACTTCGCATGCTTCTTCTTGGAGCTTTTAGTACTAAACGCAATTTGTCAGCTTAACTTGCATATTCCTCTGGGTTGAAGTTCTTTTTGCGAAAAATGAAATAAAAGAGCGGTTGAATAAGGGAGCGGTTGTTAGAGGCGGCTTTAGAGTAGGAGATAGCGGTAGAGGAGCTTTAATGATTTACGACTGGTAGGCAGGCAGCGGTGAGCATACTTAGAGCAAGAATTTCATTGAGGATTGTTTATCAATTTTACCACAATCATTTCTCCACCAAACAAAACAAGACAGCAATTGTCCCTCACTGAGAATATAGTAACAGACAAACAACGCCTTAACAATGACTGCGCAAAGTAAACAAAACAGAAAAATGAATAAGTCGAGAGAGGTAAGGGTGGTGAGACAGTTAGTTCACTTGCAATTTCCTCGAGACAGCTCCGAAATACATTTACCTCAAACTGGAATGCCTCACTCCAACTCTCAACACTCTATAATTAGCTATTTGTCAATGTCTCTCTCTCTCTCTCTCCCTCTCTCCACGCTCGTTTGTTCGCTCTCATCCTATATGGATCCTTTCTCGTTGAGAATTTGTTGAGTAAATTGATTAATTAATTTTTCATTCTTGCCGTACTACTATTATTACATCTACAACCAGAGGAAGGAAGAATGTCAAAAAAGTGTCACGTACACAATTGAAGACAGGAAAATAATGAACTGCTACGGTCATTTCAGATACCTTTTAAAAATTTAGGTTGCACTCATCACAATCACTATTACATATACACATATATAACATGCGACACATCTATCGGTCCCTTCAACCATCACCACAACAACAATAACAACAGCAGCAGTATCGGTCGTGATATGACAACGATTATGTGTTTCGTTGAGACCCTTTCCATCTTTTTCTTTCTTGTGAATGCCTCACCCGCATATCCTCGATAGAATGAACCTATGATTCAATACTTCAGCTTAGTATTGAATTTATGATGTGAGCAGAAATCAGAGATGAAAAACACTTCTTCGATCCCATTTTTTCACCATAGAGAGGAAATGCTTCGAAAGTTCGACGAAATTCGACCGCGCTGCCTTTTTCACGCAAAACTCAAGAAAAGTTCGATGAATAAAGGAATTTCAATTAAATAATCAAATTTATAGACGAAGGAATGAAATGAATGCTAGCCATAAACAAACAGTTTGGCCAGCTGTCTAACGGGAGTTCCGGTTCTCATCTAAACATACTGCGAATTCTTGATGAAAAAAATAGGATGTAAATAATGATGTAGCTGTGACCGCATTGATATTTGTACCTCTGCAAGCAATTAAAATTTGGAAATTTTGAAAAGTTACGAAATGTATACCAACAATAATTAATGTCCACTTTATTTCATCGTAGACGAAACAGGAATCTGGAAGCGTAACTTGTAAGAACTAAATGATTCATTCGGTTTATCAGTGGATACAATGAAAAATCAAGCAGCTCTAATTCTCAGTGAATTTCAGATAAGGAAGGATGGACGGACTTCGCTTAGTGTACAAATTTGGAGAGTAAATTGTTTCCGAAAAATGGAAATTTTGTTGAAAAAAAAAGAGATCAACGAAACAAAACAAAGCATGCAAATATATTATGCACACTATTTACATAATGATACTATGGGACGATTCATCCATATTGCCGTATGAAAACATAAGAAAAGAAGAGCGGATAAAACTTTGATTCCACCGTAGTTGTTCCTCGAATCCAGTTTAAATACTGAACATCAAATATTTTTTCACGTTCATTCAATTTGAAATTCAACAAATTTGAATGTTTATGCTCCTTCTTGTAAGGGAACCAATCATTATTGCGGTTGTTGCTTAACTTCCCAGTTTTAAATAAAAATTTTGCTGAGGAAAATTTCACAGCAAAATTTTTAATTTAAATCTTGCACATAATTAGCTGAAACTTTTCAATAAGCTGTATGTAGATCAGTAGGATGCATCTTCTCTCCAAAATGCACCCAGATCTCGAGTTGAAGAGGAAATAGATGGAAACGAAGCCAAAATGTTCATCCAGAATGAAATAGCACAGGCGCTCTCCTCTTCATCTTCCAGAGTAAGGCTCTCTCTGCAAACTGCATTTGTAGGATTTCCCGAACCACTGAGGGAAATTGCAATGTATAGGCTGTATTATTCTCCTGCAAGACAGAGATGGCAGTTGAAAAACTCATTCATTCTTCTAAAAACTGTTTAGATATTTAGTTTAATTGAATGCTAGACTAATTTAAACAACAATTGAACAATGATGGGAAAGTGGATTGAACCTTCTCACAGAAGTGTATTTCTTGATTAATCGATTTAGCAATACCATTTTCGTGCAACTTATCAGAGACTTCGGAAAAAATGTAAGGGAAACTTAAACTGATTGAAATGACAGTTATTAATAGATTATTAATTACTAGTACTTCTAAGAGATTCCCATAATATCTTGGTTTTCTATCACTCTTCACTTATGCTAGAGCAGTTGTTAATTCACTGATCACTGACCTACAATAAAAATTAGTCTGAATATCTTTTAAGCAATCGCAGAAGAAAGTGTCGCAAACCAATTGCGTGACACTGCAATCATCGTAACATTGGTCATGCTTCAGGCAACATGAATTTACTGAAAATAAAGTGAAATAAATAATTGGAATCAGCTGACACATCAAAAATCATGTGACGTATCAGATAACATTTCAGAAAGGCACTATTACTCATCGTACTTTCCCGCAAAAGTACCCCGAATATACTCTTATTCATTTCAAATCATCACTTGCATTTAATAATCATTGTTTATCTCTTCCTTAATCACTACTGCACTTCCAATTAAAAAAATTGCCAACATTTCATCTACTTGACCCCTGTTTGTTTTCAACAAACAATCATTATCACTTGTATGATACAATCTAAAGCTAAAGAATCTGGTCAGACTGTTAATCCATCTGTTTCTTCTATTAGCCTAGCAGTATTGGAAATTATCAAAGCTGAACTAATTGATTAATTGAAATGAAAATTGATTAATTAACTTAAAATCTGGTACTAACTCCGATACTGTTCGCACGGTATAGTGAGCAGTTGGGATATAAATAGATAAAATGCATTATTATTAGGACCGCAGTGGTACTTAGATGTAAATGAATGATGTACAATAAGTATCAGTGGGAAGAAGATTGTACGTATGCGAAACATATCTTTTAAATACATAGACCTGAAGTAAACACAATAATGTAATAGCAGTCATATTTTAGTTAGCAGAAAACAACAAATTTTTTTGTTCATCAAAGATATAGGCTTAGATGAAATTCAAAATTCACGAATTTTACAACCTAATATTATTTATCTGTTGCTAGCTTACAATTACAATCAATATTGCGAATTTCGCTGTTGGTCCCACCTATATATTTGCATATTTGCTGTATTCAGGAATACTATCACAGCAGTCATTGCTATCGGACATTGATACCATTAGGAATATTCGTTCTCACTATACTCCTTGTCTTATCACAACACCTTTATCATCTCCCAGTCCGATTGAAATGATAAAACAGTGATCCGACTATTGATTTTATGGGCTGCTTCATTTTATAAATAACATTTCGAATTATTTGAAGCTCATCAATAATTTGCATTCTACAGGAGCAGCTATTTTTTGGCGCTGTTCTGCGCTATCTTAAAAGTTGTGATATGGATCTTTTATCTTTTTATCTTAACTTCCTTTTTCTTGAATCGCGATCAAAGTAGTGTCTTCTCATGTTGAATAGTCTTAAATATTAAACTAATCTTGGAATGCCGCGTTCGGTATTAATCACTTGCAATTATTATCCATCGATCAAGACATTTCATAATTATACCAAAAATGTGCTTCTCGATGGAGTTCAGATACTTCTCGGATGATTCGCAGATTTTCAAAGGAAGAAACAGTGGAAAATACGTATTACTGGGTCTAAAACTCCCAAATAAAATTAATGAAAAACACATCTTCGTCTACTACAAAAGAAAGAAAAGATATAACAAATAAATTTTGATGAAGAAATGACAAATTGATTGATTAGTTGATGAATCGATAAGCAGAGATGAAAATATTATGAATCAAAACTTACTTTCCTCATCGCATTCGAAATCCGAGAGAAATGAAAAGGAATCAGACGAAAAATGGGAGATCAGCTGCAGTGCGCTGTTGGATCGTCGTTCGAACGCTGAATTAACACAATTAATTTTCGGATAATCAGTAGTTTGAACAGGATAAAACTTTATCATAAGAGTAAAACTTGATGGGATTTTGCTGAAGCTATGACCCTTCTGGAAAGTGTGCCTCGCAAATTCTCGAATTATTAGATTTGTTGAGATTTTCATGAAAACAGTAAAGGAAGTTTAAAAAGAAATGTCAATAAGATCGTACTATAATAACAAAATGAAGTGCTACCGAAGAAAAAAGAAATACATGCATTTTGAAGAGGAAATGAAGATCGAAAATAAGTGACAATCTGCGGTGGTGCAAACGAATGAAGAATTTCAGAGGAACAGAACAAATACAGACACACACACACATGTATATATATATATATATATATATATATATCCAGACAACATTCGAAAATCGTTCGGGGCAAGACCTCCAAGAAATATGAAAAATGACGCTCGTTTAAGCTTTTCCTCTGGTTCTGCTTACTAATTACTTATCAGTCAGGATTTATCCATCCATCCGTTCCTTCTTGTGCTACATATAAAGATTAATGCACCGAGAAGTATCCTGGAGTGGAGTAAGCTGGCCGTTATGGTAGTAACAACTGTTTAAATATTGGCTTTTTTCCTGGTGTTCGGATAGCTTGAATTCAATAGCATCTCTTTCAATCGCTACATTTTGTATATAGCCACAATCGAATTCTATGGGGACATAAAAATGGATTTTATAAATCGTCACTAAATTTATGGTCGAAAAATTTAAACAAGTAGTTCAGAGCATTGGTAACAACACAAAGGTCGAGAGAGCAAACGGTACTAAATGGTAGATTATTCGATACGACAGGAAGACATTACTTATCGACTCTTGAGAAGTCGAGAGGGTTCTGAAATTATTTAAAGTGATTCTTTCTTCCAAGAAGGACTATTGTATGAATAATCAGGGCGGAGTGATGCGTGTAAGTGAATTAATACTGGCAGAGAAAAAATAGAGAAGACCAACCGGTTCGGTGGAACATCGAACATCGTTACTGAAAGAAAAATGCACGAGATTATAATTCGGAATGATGCAACTGTTAAACGTCAATTTTAAACCTTAGTAAAGCATTACTTAAAATTTACAGCAGTGGAAACCATAATTGCAAAATCCGTTAAATTTTAATATTCGATTGTGAGAATTCGTCAATTCATCAATCGCGATATTCCACATTCTCACAAAATACATCAGCGAAACAGTTCGAGATCTCAAAATTTTTCTGCAAGTAAATAATGACGAAATTGCCAGCACATAGCTTCGAAAAAAGTTTGAAATTGTAACCATAACCAAAGTAAGTGCAATATTGGTCATGAAAAATACCCATCCCATTCTCCGCATCTGGTTACTATATCGAGTGACAAGGAAGTAAGATTTATACGAAATGAGGATATGTAACACTTCTTGAATCCTTGAAATTTCAATCGTTGAATTTCCTGCTTTCGCTTTTCTTACTAAGAGAAAAATTTCAAAAAACCAGTGCTAAATGATTTGCAGCTGCCTTTCAATATTGTTATTATTCATTTTAGAATGCCACTTATCTGTTGAATCTAAATTATGAATATACTTTTTCTTTCTTTCGTTGCCTTCACTTTTCGACATTTCAAAGATGTATTGTTCTTTTTCACTTTTCTCAACCCTGTCGTCATGTAATGTTTGGTTAATTTCATCATCCAATATCCCGTATCTCCGATGATACTGGTAATAGCGCATTATTTTTATGGTTATGTCAATTTGATGTAATTTGCGACGCCAACTCTTATTAATTTCATTCATATTTCAAGGAATGTAGTGCATGTTCCAATGAAATAGAGAATTTTTTCACACCGACAGTGAGCGAGTAAAATTCCAACAAAAGTTTAGCATTTTAAGGAATTAATTTAAACCATACTTACAGTAGCAGCTAATGAAGAACGCAGTAGCGAGAAAAAGAAAAGTTAAAACAGTTAGCAGTCAGCGGAAATAAAAACTTACGTTCCAAATCATTAACTACCTACTAGTTAGCTAAAATTTCAGCTAGTGGACAATTTAACCTTCCTAAGAAGAGTGCATTGTAATCAAATATAATCTTTTCCAAAGTAACGGACTGATGAACAATCCTTTGATTTAAACATTTATGAAATCATTGACTCAAAATATTGTCTTCACTGACATTTGTAATGATGCAGAAACCTCTAAATGTATTTCATATTCTATTTAAGAGAGAACATCGTTTGCAGTTGAGTCAAATATGCAGTTACGCGATCAAACAAAGATCCCGATTGTTCAGAATTATAAATATATGATAGCACAAGATTAACAAAATAACTAGAATTCGCAGCCAACATTTATTGCACAATATTTGCTGCATTTTTAATTCTATATACCAGTAAAGTTTTCTAAAATCTTTTTCTGTATCGAAGTTAAGTTGCAATATTTATTGATACGCTCCACTTCCGATTTCAAATCTTCTGACAGCGAATATAATGCCATAATTTGCAAACAACAGCTCGCATTATACCAATTACCCTCACTCAGTGCTTCCTGCATTAACAAATTTAAAGTTTCGTAATTCGGAGATCCTGAAATGGTAGAATTTCATCAAAGTCGGTGAAATTTTAAAGTTAATATAAGGGATCTTGAATGAATCATTTTGTATTAAAAATAAACAAACAAACACACATACTTTCATTGCTAACTGTAGCAGCTTCGCCTTGTTTAGCTTCTTCATCTAATAGCAATGATAGGAATTTCCATGCACGTTCCCTCTCTTCCAATTTCATCATCATCAACGACATATCCGCTATCTGTTATAAATAAAAATGTTAGATTGATTTCATTAAAAGTAGTAGAATTTTCGACATTAATTATTCAACTCCCTTAAACTGACATTTTGATAGTTAGTAGCATTCAAGCACCGGGACACAACCTAAAACATATCTTAAGATTTCAACCACTGGATTAGAATTTTAAACTTCCTCTTTCTATCTAAAAAAGATAACCTACAAAATCAGATTCCAACTTCTTTTGAATCTTTTGCAAGTGCTTTACTTCCGAAAACCGGCTTATTTCCACAAAAATGTCAACAATTTTCACAACTAAATTGCGGAGCTCTTCTCTTTCTTCCACAGTCATCTTCTGAAAATATATAAAACGAATAGATATGCCATAAAAATTATTAGCCTCACAAATATTTGCCATTCTAGGTAATAAAACTATGATCCTGAAATCGGAGTTTGAAACACTGAATTTTTTCTAGACAAGGTAAGTGCACATTCTACAGGCGCCAAAATTTCCAGAAGTATTTAATCAGTAATCGTGAAATATTCGTGGAAAAATCTAACTGCACGAATCGAAACAGAAAACCATGAGCCAGATTAAACAAATATCAAACGATGCAGAAAGAAACACCTTTAAATCTATGTTAAGCAGATAAGAGCGTAATTGCTGATTTAGATGAGATCGCAAAATATGTCTGCTCGTAATAAAATCTTCAATCAATCGGCGCGAAAATAACCATGGTATATTCTTTTCAATCTGAATACAATTCTCTAATTCATTAGATTTGCACATAGTAAAAAAAATTTTTTACCATAAATTTCTTTTAAATTCTGGAGAAAGAAGTTCAAAGAGTCAAAAGCAGCAAAAAAGAAATTGAAAATTTGCAAAAGTTTTAACCAGAGATGATTCTACCAAACCTGTAATCTTCGAAGCATAATCATTGCCAAATTACTAGATAGTGGAACAGCTCGTGGGACTAATGATATGTACTGCTTTTCAAGCTCTTGTAGAGGCAACTGATTAATTACAATGCGCAGATATAATCCATAAAATCTTGAAAAAGACAAATGACATGTAAATTGGAAAATGTGATCGGATGATTTGGTAAAAAATTTAATATGCAACTCCCTTCTGTGAATAACAATCACTTGAGACATTTATTAAGAATATCGGCAGGTATAACTGCATACCGAAATCATCATTCATCATTTGTTTAATCAACTGATTCGTCGGAATCTCGAGATGCAACAAAATTATGAAAAGGAAAACTAAATATACGAATAAAACGTACTCCGCTTCCCCCAAAAAAGCGGGTAAGCGAACAAAATTGTTTGGTGCACGATAGAGGACTAATATTCTCTCTGCAATTTCAATATTCCTTGTCTGGAATGCAAAATCCATCGCACTAATGAAAAATTCTTCATCACCTTTTTCCAACATTTCAATTGCTTCAGTTCGCTCAAGTTCTGTCAGAATATGTACTAGATGCGCTAACGGAACAGACTGCAAAAAAACATTGATTCAATATTTTTAAAAACTGAGGGAAACAAAAATACCATAAGCTCTGCCAAATTTCAAAACAATAAATGGTTCCATTCAAAAAGGTCAACTTAACTGCATTTTACCTTGCTAATGTTCCTCTGCTTTAGACAACTCTTCATCATTAATGAATATGTACGTAAACTTGGCTTACATCCAACGGCTCTTGCTTCATTCAATATTTTGACTGCTGTACTAAACTGTTCACGAAGTTGCTAAAAGTTCTTTAAAACATTAAAAATCAAAGGACAGAGTAAAAAAAATATAAAACCAGTGATTTAAATCAATCAATCAAAAGACAAATAAACCACATAAAAGAAAAGCAAATATGCTAAATTCCATAAATCAAATACACCAAATATAAAACAGTTCATTTCTATGAACAAACCCACTATTGACATAGATTTCTCGATTAGAACATTGAAAATTCCAATATTTGGTTTAACATTTCGTAATGCCATATCTTCCAAATAAAATACCGCTTCCTGCCAAGTCTTCGCAATTGTAATTAGACCATAGTATGCTTCAACAGTTGGAACAAAATCTTTCTCGCGCATTTCCTTAAATATCAAATGTTCTCAAGAATTCAAATATAACAATTGACGGTAATACAACTGAATGCTTATAAAGTAATCAAAAGTTTATACCTTATAAAGTTTCAAAGCGCGTGTGGTACATTCAGCGTTACGATATTTACATAATCCAGCTACCATTAAAGAATAAATTTCTTCATCTTTCTCAAGCTCTTCGAATAAAAGATCAGCTGCACCACCCTGACAGCATTAATTATTAATTGAATCATGAATTGCGTTATCCTCTTCTTCGTAGTAAACAGAAAACCCATCAAATAATGAATTTAAAGAATGGAACCCTACTGTACACTTTTGCACCTGATCACTAAGATTATTTCAGAACAATACATTTCTTGATGATATGTCGGCACAATCTCCATCCTTCCTACAAATATGACCGATTATCAGTTACTTAAAAGGTCCTTATTATTCATAACGCCCTACTACTGCATCATTCTTTCAATTCAAACTTCAGCGGCTAGAAACAATCGTCTTAGGTAACAACAAACGTTAAATATCTTTTTGACCTACAAGAAGATCCATGAACACAAGTTCGTCCTATTTCAAAAACAGGTTTACAAGTTCATTTCCATTTCACGGCAGATAGTCCAAACAGAGTTATTTAGATTAATGGACATTTACCCAAAAGTGATGACGAGAACATCAACAGTAACGAAAAATAATAACAATGACCTCAACAAATGCGATGAGTTATAGAGTGTTATTATCTAATAAAAGGTCATTTTGGATTTGAAAATAATACTTTTCCACATTCCATCAATTAAAATTCTTAAGGAACTCACACTATCCCATATTTCTGGTTCTTGTTCCATTTGACAACCATAATTTCGCCATCCATGCCATGGTATTTCAGCCGATGGGATTGAGTTACCGTTATAATAAACCAACAAGCGAAATAAATCAACCTTAAATAACTTAAAACCTTGAGAAAAGCGCAAAAGTGAAAATAAACAAGCAAGAATATAAATGACTTCGAATATTTTATATTGACATTTTCTAGGATATTCTTCCAACCACATTCGAATGATTCTGGGTTCAGCAAATCCTTTTATTCATTCCTCAGTTAACGCACAACTAAACGAGCATAACTGTATAGTGAATATGGTTAATTAGAAGAAGCTGACGTTGCAAATTATCAAGATGTTCTATTAATAAAGGCTAGTAAAAGTATCAATAGTCCAAATGATTTGCTTTCTTACAGTAAATATCAATGAAAAAAATTAATTGAAAATTCAAATAATCATAAGATAACGGACCAATACTTCTCGAGGTATTGTAACATTTTCAGCGGCCAATTTATCATATAACTGATTTGCACCGATTACTTCCTTCTTTGCAACCAATTTTTGCAAATTTTCAATAGTTGGAGCAAGTTCAGAAGGATCGGGTGATTTCTGCGGTCGATAAGCTTGAATACGTGGTATATCTGTATCATACATGAATAACGTTGGCCATTCTTGAGCAAGCTGTTGAGCTGCACGACGTCCCATTTCCTGCAAATATCCTGAATTATATATTTAGAATAATTTTCGCTTATCAAATCTTTCAACTCAGGCCCATCAAACATAGAGAGATATAATGCCAATAGTGCCTCTGTAGTTACAAAGAAACAGAACAAGTAGTTCGATAATAGATAACAGATAACTTGATAATAGACATACTTAAAATGTATGTTTGTCCGATGTTAAGGAATTTCCGCAACATTAACTCTTTTTTTGTGAGAAAAATGTGCACCCAAGTCAGAAAACCGGGGAAAGGCTTCTTCTACTCAGTAACATTTTCATCGGAATGTGAAATAAGAGAAAATTAACCAAAAATGATCACACCTTAGCAACAAAATATAAATCACGCTGCGAATCTGTGGGAATTGTCAACGGATCATCGATAAGAGCAAAATGTGGAGCTGTTGGGTCGACGTCAATTGTATTAGCCAGTGCACGAAGCAAATCGGTTGAACTGCGCTAAAATTATTTTTCTCCAAAAAAAAGAAAAACAGAAAACAGCATTTGATATCGGACGTTTAATTATTTAATCCAAGTGTCAGAAGTGTTTTAATAAATAAACCAGCAAAAAAAAAACTGCCTCCACTTCACCACTATCTAAGATTTTCACATAAATAGGCTTTAAATTATCTAATTATTGTGCCCATACCTTGCATCAGGAAAATTTTATACTTCCCATTGTTTTACTCCACGTCTTAATCATTTTTTCAAATTTCATCACATTAATATTATATCCAGACTGCACCCACGTCTACTTCCATCGCATTCAACAATATCATCTTTATCAAATTTCTTCCGCATCAGATGACACTGTAGTTATCTCAGTGCTAACATAAGCACCCAATGAAACATGAAAGGAATTGGGGAAGCACGTGGAAAAATAAAGAGGAATAGAAAAGAGCAGAACGACACCGGAGAAAAACCTTTCTACTAATGCATATATCCTGGAAAAGTAGTCCATCAACTTTTTAGTCCGGAATGGGATCCCCGAGTAACGACAATTCAAAATTCAAAATTCTTATACTTAAGTAATTAAAATGCTAGTCTGAACCATAATGATAACCTTTATGAACACGGAAGAGAAAAAACTTACCTTAATAGCATACGGTATCCCGATTTCATCCATCATATTTGATGATAATTCCTTGTTAGTCGGTGAATTTTCCGCATTAGTTACAACGGTGGACAATAAGTTTCGGAATGATACAGTTGTACCCAATCTCTGCCATTTGTTTAGTGATCGAAACATATTATAACTACACCACCGTTACTTTATCGCTGAAAGTATATAGCAAAGAAAATCCTAATTAATCGAATATTCTGCTTTTGTTTAAAAATATCTCTATGATATAATTGGCTAGAATTCTGGAAAACTGCTATTCCCGATGGTAGCTATTATAAATCATAATCACGCTAATTAAGAAGAAAATCGTATCCATATCAGTCATGAATTACTCATTACGACTTCATGAATGATATCTTGGTTAGGCATTAATCTGATGATAAATTATATTAATAGTTTGTACAATACTTCCACTAATAATTATAAAAATAACAGATGGATAGGATTTCTTGATAAAATGCGTTAATATAACGGTGATGGATAATAAAACAAATCAATTTGAATAATTTGAACAATTGTATTAAGATAATGTAAAGTAATAAAATTCATCTGTAAGATGCCGGAAAAGCTAACGAAAATGACAACAGCTATTCTTCACAAGAATAGTAGCTAAAAAATGATAAGACTGACTGTGTAAGGATAACATAGGAGTGATAACTGACAAAATGAATTGCAAAATTCTGGGATTTTCACGGAGAAAGAAATCTTCTGACAATCTGAAAGCAATACAAATTGACACAACCATAAAAATAACGCATTATTACCAGTATCATCCGAGATACCGGATATTGCATGATGAAATTAACCAAACACTATATAACGACAAAAGCGACAAAGAACAATACGTCTCTGATATGTCAAAAAGTGAGTGCAACGAAAGAAAGAAAAAGTATCTCATCCAGGATGAGCAAGTAAAGAACTCTCCGAGCTCATACGAAGCGTTGGGTAGCTGCGCTAACTGTGAACTCAAATTCACTCTAAGTAAGTCTAAATATGTCAATATTAATTAAAGTACGGATCATGATAATCAATCACTACATTTTTGCCAACAAGAAACAGGTTTGTCTTTCCCTATAGCCCGAAAACCCGTGCTTCGGGATTCCACAGAAAGCATTGCCAGCATTTTTCTAGCCCTGCACAAAGCTGTCAAATGCCTGAAACAGTAAAGTATATTAGCAAAAAGGCAAAACTTCGTAGTTCAATCCTGTTAACTTCGGAAGCGTTGATTTCTGGTCAGGCGCTCTTGAGATTAGGGCCTTGCCATCGTAGCTGTAGCTGTGGCTGCGGTTGTAACTGCGGTGTTGACATTGTCAGTTGAAGATATGAAAGTTTTAAGAATACCGTATTGAGTTGCTCAGCAAAGTACTGGTTTCTACAGGATTCAGAAAACAGAAGATCATAGTGACCGCTTTTTGTGGAATCTCGACTTTTGAAAGTAAAGTTTAGAACTTCCTATCCGCTCGAATACTTCCATAATCCGCCAAAATCCGATCGAGTTGTGTGCCGCGTAAAATATGACATGATGACTTAAAGACTGTTAAAGTTTTCTCACCCTTTCAACGTGATTGAAATACCAGGCGAGCATAAAATGGTGGTACAGAGGGTAATTTCTTAACCAAGTTATAATAGGGTTAGCTTTGGTGCTTGATCTCAGCGGTCAATGCGAATTGGCGATAATTCACACTACGCTCTCCAGCATCAGAGCTTTCACCCTATTCGCAAAAATTTCTTGAACAACAAATTTGTTAATAGGTGCTAACCGGAATTCCTTGTGCTACTAAATGACTATTCATTTTGAACGACTTACACAAGGAAATGACTGGAGTCAGCTTCTTCTCTAATACCATCTTCTCAATCTAAAATAAAGCATAAAAGGCGAAAAGCGCTACGTATAACCGCCCTAATAATTTTACAATCCTGCTCGGGATAACTATTTGCATAATAATTTCATCATTGTGTCATACAAATCGACTTGGAGCATATGCGAAAGATTACTATTTTCTCCAGAGTGTTTCGCATCGCATTGTGTGTGTCCTTTTTGTGGTTCGATGTCATTATCATTCCCTGCTTCGATCGCAATGCTGCACTATCTTTACTGCCTCAATCTCTGGATCCGTCCCCCGTGTATCTTCACTTTCGCAGCTATTTCCGAACTTTGCTCTAAATGATTGTAGGATAAGCTCCCAAATTTTCGGTCTAAGCGTGCGGGGTTCGAGTAGTGGTTGTATTTATGGTCGGGGTGATGAGTCAGGGTGATTTCACACTCACATTACTATGTTCCGGAAACAAAGTGATGAGAGTGATTTCCGAGTAATACTGTAAGTCTTTTCTACTGTAAGTCGAAATTTGGAATGTTCACTGCGAGAATTTCCCAATTTAATCTTTTAAATAACACCTGCAGAAAAAAGGACAAGAAACTTTGTCTAACTCTGTTAACTATATTAAATTAAATTAGAGGATGCAGCTTGCTGTATGGGTGGGGTCATGGTCTTTTCAGGAATTTGCTTTTTAGGCAGTATTTTTTGATGGATTTGACGGGAATTTTGGATCTCAGTCGATCAGAAAAGCCTACAGCATTAATGAATCGATTGCGGAAATTCTTGCCTGAAATTGCAACTGCAAATACTAATTTGGGCAGTGCCACAGAGTGTGATATTGAAATAATTGCTGTCGAAGATGGAAGCGATGCCTCCTCATCCACGGATTCTGACAACGAATCGGAAGTACCATAGCTTTATCCATACTTTCGATTTTTAGTAAATTAAGCTGTGATTTTTTACCATTATTTACCATTTTTATCATTTAGTAGGTAAGTGTGCAAAAGAACTATCTTAGTTAAATAATAAAGTAAAATTTCAGGCTAAGACGAACCAACTCCATGTGGTAATGGATGTTACTACTGTACGGGAAGATGCACCTATTCGTGTGGTAATAAGTGGTAGTGATTCTGATTTTGATGATGAGGGACAGCAAGTTTTACCGGTTGGGTTCCGGACCAAGGAACCGGTGCGGAAAAAGAGACGAAAAGGAGACAGGCAACGTCTTGTGGAAGAGGTTAGTGAAGAATATATGGCTAGTAAAGAGATCAGCAATGACAAGGAAATATCGGCAGAATCAAAAAGAATTGAGCAATGAGATGGAATTATTGTAATCTGTTTTTTCCACAGATAAAAATATGCTGTCGCTTTTGCTTATGAAATACGACATTAAAGAAAGTGGTTTATTGAATTATGTGATTGATAATGGATATGCTTTCGTTATTCATTTCTTGTTTTTTTTGTTCGTCCTTCTCAATCTAATAAATATTCTTTCTTCCTCTTCTGAAAGTTAATGTAAAATTTACATCAAATAGTTGTTGAGTGAAATAAGTCGCTTCGTCATGCTTCATAGACGTTTAATTTAGTTTTGGCTTATTTGAGGAACAGAAATTTCGAGCTTATAGCTTGTTTACCTACTAGATCAACAGTTCATTCATGAATATGAAGTTAGAACCTTCAATAGCGACTATTCAATAGTTCCATTAGCTACGAAATTCAAATGGATTAGAAATCTCGGACATAACGAACAAACAAGGGTAGATGTTTCTTTGGATTATGATATGCTGCAAGCAAGAAAGAGCTTAATAAATATAAACGAGTCAGAAAAAGAAAAAAAAGCTTATGTTTACGCATTAGTAAACAGGGGAAGTGTAGAAGTACCGATTAAAGGTAACGGTGGAAGAATAATGCGTTTTTGTGGTTTGGATCTTCAGTTTCCAAAAGGTACGCATCTGTTGATATCCTATTTTCTGGTAGCTGAAGGATTTGCAAAAGCATCTAGAAACTGAGAACAATGCAAGCAAAAATTATGTTTCATTACCGATAAGATGAAATTCTTCTCTAATCAAATTAAATGAGTTGCTGTACTTCTCTGAATTTGAAACATCGTTTAGTCGTTGTAGTAATAATTCAACATATCATTCATTTCGCCGGCATATTCAGTTGCATTTTTTCCATTAAGCGCCATTGGCCCTTGCTTATCGTTATAAATTCCTTTTATGAAAGAAGTGCTGGTCTTCTTAAGTATATATTCGAGAATTAATCCATATAATCTCGACATCGCACCCGTTACAAATACCAATTTTTACTTCCTTAGCCTAATGAATTTTAGGCATATCATCTGGTCACTGTGCTATGGAAATTTCTAAGAGAGCAAATCCATAAAGCTGTCAGCAAAATGCATCCGATTTATTATTGCGCATTATTTCCTGAGATAAATGGCCATTCCTAACTGTAATTCTCAGGTTCTGGGTTGAGTGAATGCATTCATAGATGTTCGTGCTCGGATCCCAACTGGTTCTGTCAAATATCGCTTCACTAAAAGGATGACTAATTTCTTTGCCATTATCTTCAAACTTCGTTCATTGAATTTAAAGAAATTTCGGGATAGTCGGTGTTTATGAGGCGTGCAAACTGTTTGAACATTCTGTTACATTTGCGGTATTAAGTCACAAATTTTCCCCCATTCTTACTTTCTTGTGATGCTAACGACGATAATAATTAATAGTAATAACTAGTAATAATAA